TGCAAGGATGTGTAACAAACACATGGCATCTTGAGGACTGTGACATGCAATTCTGTGTGTTTGGAGCTGGATGTTGTTCTCTAATCAAAGTTCAAAACTCAATTTTGATAAAAAGATCAAAAACCACACACCGCATGTATTGAGGGAGACAGGAAAGGAATGCTAAATGCTTTAATGAAAAGAAAACTTATTAAGCAAAAATTTTCATTCAGAAAGCTGCCATTCAGTTTTAGAAACCATAAATGAACTTAAACAAAATAAGTATGATTAAGATTTACATCAAATAGTCTGGCAATTTGTGAAACATGTCAAAATTAGCTTTTTTAAGAAACTGCAAGTGTCTGAAAATTAAACATTTATGGAATAAATCATTTCAGCATCAAATCCAAAATTCTGTAAACTGCCAGAAAGCAGCCTCCGGCTATCCCAAGGTGCAGTGAGCCACTCTACGCCTGGTCTGTGCACCGCATGCCAGTGCCTGCTGCTGCCTCCTGGCCTGTCCCACTTCAGGCCCTGAGAGCTGCCCTCACCTCTCTCTCGTCTGGTTCTGTCATCCTGTTTCGCCGTTACTTGGGCAGAGGGTCTACTGTGTAGCAGGCAAACCTCACACAATGCCATGTCACGTAGCAGGCAGAGACGAGGACCAGGAGCGGCCCATCCAGCAGCAGACTCACTGTCCTGCACGGTCCCAGCACAAAGGCCCTGGACACGTGAGGCACAAGTTCAACTTCGCCTGCTCTGGGATTCATTCTCTGTTGGCAGCAAGGTTCCTTTATCAGGGTATAAATTCTAAGCTCAAAGACCATTTTCCTCCTGACTTTGTAGTCACCAGTCACCTTCCCAGCACCCTGTAAATGCCCTTGCTGTTCCTATGCCCATGTGGGCCTCCTGAGTCCAAGGACATTCTGCCAGAGTTTATGAGTATTCCCCTTAGTCAGCCACTAGACATTGTCCGGCCACATCTCTTGGCTACTCTTGTCTTCATCTAGATTTTCTGCTAAACATTTAGTTGTCTTAGAATTTCTTTGAGGTTACTGTTTTTTTGTCATCCCATTGAGTCCTACTACTGAGTGTCTTAGCCCAACATTTTGACTTTTTAATCAAAAACCGCTTTGATTCTACCTCTTTCATAGCAGCCTTCTTTAGGTATAAGTTATCTCAAATCTCTGAGTAGCATAACAGGTTTGTCTTATTCTGTTTGGCTGCTAAAATACCTTAGACTGGGTAATTTATAAATAACAAAAGTTCCTCACAGTTCTGGAGGCTGGAAGTCCAAGATCAAGGAGCCAGGAGATTGTGTGTCTGGTGAGGGCTGCTTCCTCTTAGTCGGTCCCTGTTCATGTGTCCTCACAGCAGAAGGGGCAGGAGAACTCTCTGGGGCTTCTTGTATAAGGGCATGTATCCCATTCATAGGAATCCACTCTCATGACCTGATCCTCCCAAGGCCCCAGCCCCTAACACCATCCCATGGGGGGTTAGCTTTCAACATCTTAATTTGGGGAGACACATTCAGACCACAGAATTTTGTTTATAAATCATCTTGTTCGGTTTTCTCTAAGTTCTCTTTGTTCATCTCAGCCTTTTGTTACCAGCTATTCACTTTCCTTAAATGTCAGCTGTCCTAGTTGACCACACAGAACTCTGAGAAGCATCAAGACAGTTCACAAACATAGCTGCCCTGGACCTCCTCTGTGCTTTTGTCTCCTCAAACATGCCCCTTGCTAAAACAGGCAGATTGGCGTGGACTGCTGGAAGCGCAGGGGTGAGACTAGTGTGCACACACCAGCAGAGAACGGATGGGAGAATCCCTTCCCAACCCAATGCCAAACTGAGGAGGGTCTCCCCTGAGTCAGGCACAGTTTTCTCCAGATGAGAGCGGCCCCGCCTTCCACCTCCAGCAGGGAGGCCAGCTACCTCCAGTGCCACTCTGCTTGTCACTCCTGCACCAACACCCACAGCAGTCACAGACAGAGGGCACTTCCTCCAGACAGCAGTGCTTGGTTCTGGACCTTGGTGGTGGGGTGACTTCATTAGATGACCTTCACCTGAACCAGAGCCTACTCCTGCCACCCACATCTGGACTTGAAGCTGGAGGCCTCTTCAAACGTGGGGTAAGAATAGCTGTCCAGCCAGAAACTACATTCCCCAGGCCCCTTTGCAAGTGCTTAAAAAGCCTGTCCACAACCCCATAGATATTCATAGGTATTTATGGAGTACATGCTAGGGGCCAAATGCTGTTCTTGCTCTCATGGAGATTATAGACATGAAAATAAATAAGGCCATTTCAGAGAATGATGAGAGATAAACACAAGAATAAACACGACCAAGTGGCAGGGAGGGGCAGGGAAGAGGGGAAATGGACATCTCCCTTAGGCCTTGAAGCTTCTCTGAAAATGAGATCAAAACAAACCAGCCCAGGGCTGGCCCAGTGGCGCACTTCGATGGTGCGGCGCTTGGGAAGTGCGGCGGCGCTCCCGCCGAGGGTTCGGATCCCACATACAGACCGGTTCCCGCTCACTGGCTGAGCGAGGTGCGGGAGCAGCACCGAGGGTTGCGATCCCGTTGCCGGTCCCGGTCCGGTACGGGGGCGACACTGAGGGTTGCGATCCGTTGCCGGACACAGAAAAGGACAAAAAACAAAACAAACAAACAAAAAAAACCCAGCCATCTGCATTTCTAGGGGAAGGACGTTCCGGACAAGGAGAGGCCAACACAAACATCTAGAGATAGTTGTGACTTCAGTAGAGCTGGCAGCAGGTGTGAGACAGGGCAGTGTGGTTGTCAAGACAGAAGCCAAGAGCAATGTGTGCATAGCTGACTGCTGGTCACTGCTGCACACTGTAAAGTATAAAAGGCATGAGAGAAAATAAAGACAGAATAAATGCTTTTTATTCATTTGTAAGTTACCATCAATAAAATGAAAGACCTAGCATTTTCTAAACACTGAAAAATACATGAAATTTTTTATTTTATGAAATTCATAAGAGATAAATGAATTTCATTGGTTAATATTTCAATATATTAACAAAAATATTCCAGTATGTTAACAAAAAGAAAATACTAATCACAGGCAAAACCTGTCACTTCATGTCTTAAAGTTTAACAGGTTAATAATATCTAATCAAGGAGAAATACATGTGGAAACAAAACTTTTTCATAGCTGAATTTTAAGTTATTTAAAATTATTCAGTAAGATAGTGCTATTCGGTAAGTAGCGCTACTGACAAAGTCTCATATTTGGCATTTTTCTCCCCCACCTCCCAAATATTATCAAAAGATAGATTCTCTGGGTAACAGAAAAATGACAAATTTCAGACACTACTGTCCAAAAGTTTTCCATAAATTTAAAAAAAACACAAACATTTCACTGAAATCTATCTCCTATTAAATAATATTAAAAATAAATCACATTTGATCCAGATTCCAAAGGGCCAGAACAGAACTATACTGCCTTTAGAAAGTGACTGTTAACAGATGACATGCAAGGAAATGCATTTTATAACAAGCGCTCCGGGGGCCTGTTAGCAATAATGGCATCTTCACTCACACAGGCCAGGAAAGCCCCAAATGAGACGGCAGCAGTAGTGGCCCACAAAGAGAGGGCAGAAGGACAGCAGGGCTTCCAGGCTTCCCCAACCCATTTTCTGTCCTACTTCCTCTTGATGTTTATGGCTCTGTTTCGGTTAAATTTTAAAAAGCCAGATTATAATGTTATATAGCCTTAATCCTTACATTTTCATTTCCTCTACATTTTAGGGCCCAACAAATATTTTTAACATTTGGGCTAATAGAAAGGAAAAACTGGCATTGAGTCTATTCAGTTTCTGAGATCAATAACTTATATCTAACTTGCTCTATTAATAAAGGTAACTTTTAGTAAAAGCCATAATTTAATTGAAATTAAAAAGTACAAAAACTTAACATAATCATAGCTTTACTTATATTTATATAAATATGTATGTATCACTTTCAATTGCATTTTTTCCCCTAGTTTCACATTTTAAAATATTTTAGTACTGTAAATGTCAGTGACCTACATAATAGCAGCACAATGCATAACAGTATAAATGAGACTGCCAGAAATTCTATTACTAGCTCTATTTTTAAAGGGTTACAATGAAATTATGAACAGTATATATATAAAGCTTGTCAAAATGAATATGGTCTTAGGCCATTACTACTATTTCATTCCAATTTGGATTTTAATATAATCAACTTACAGATCTGAAATAAGGGCAATGCTTAATGGTTTCAGATGCATTTTGGTATTTAATATGTTTCAAGGCATCTTTACAAACAATACATTACCTAAGACAACCTATGACTAAAGCTGATTACACAGACTACAGGAGGACTGGTGATTGCAAAAGTTAAGTGTTATTGACAATTCCATGAATTAAAGTCATAACCACTTCTAGATTTCTTTAAGACAAGCAAAACTAAACAGCACACACAAGAGTTCTTTAATATAACCTTAATGGTCTAACAAACCTTCCAAATGGAAGGAAATACAAAATAAAGTAAACACATCAAATTTAACTTATAATGCTTCAGTATTACAAACTTACCAGGTCATTTTGCCAACTATGTGCAGAACCACCTAATATCAAAACATCCTACAGTGGACAAGCTGTGATTCCAGATGACTAAAACTACAGTTTCCAGAGGTCACCGTGTACCAGCAGCTACACACACACAGAGTTGTGCAAACCCATGGCTTTATTGACACCATTCATTGTGCTCTTAACATTGATGGTTTCATGGGTTCCCTCCCTGTAATGAACTTGAGCACAGACAACCAATTTCCAAGAGACATGTATCATTAAACCCAATTAAGAGTATTCAATCTTCCACACAGAGGCTCAAATAGGGAGTATTTTGCTTAGTAAAATGAAAAGTTAATTTTTAAAAATATCTGCAGTCTTTTTGAAATGCAAGGCACCAATAGGGAGCAGTCATCCCAGCAAAGAGCGATTGTTTGGGGGGGGGGGGAGAAGGAACTGATCAGTCCTTTGTCCTTTGTTAACTAGAATATTTTCTTCTTCACATCTATGCAACATCTTCCAGATAATCTGCAACATCACTGAGCTGGGACACAGTCAGGTCTTGTGTGAGGTCATCAAGCTTTGTTGTTCAAAAGAGAAAAAAATTAAGTGTCAGAATGCAAGTAGTCTTAAGTAATGTAAAAATCATAGTGCTATAATTCAAATAGTATTTTATATTTTATGAACTACTTCACGTTTAAACCTCATTAAATAAGTGGAAAAACTGAAGTACTGAGAAATGACAGGCCTAAAATCATATGGCTAATAAATTATTGCAAAGTCTTCCAAGTTCGTTTTATACTGATTATACTCTCAAATAGTTCAAGCAAAAATTAATAAAACAACATCCTAGACATTATCCCCACTTAATCTAAGAAACAGAAATCAATGGAAATTTATGAAACTTCCTTACTTGTGCATAGTCCCAATGTGTGATTCTGTTCATAGAAAATACCACTCTATGAATTGCCAACTCTCCAAAAATGTAACTTACCCATATTAAATCTTACTGAAATTCATTAAAATGTGTAATATTCTCATTTGAAAACTATTATTTCTTGGTTTTTATATGATGGTGTATAATGTTAAGTTTATAATATCAAACTTAAAGTGTGACATGAGACCCTTAACACTGCTCCTCCTTCTGGAGGCTGGTGTGAAACAGGCAGGCAGAAAGGCCATGAATCTTTGGCTCCCAGCCTCTGTTCCTGAGTGCTATGGGAATGGGTGACTGCCATTTCTGTCTAAACTAGAAAGTAAACTACAAAGTTAACCTCTATTAGCCAAAATACACACATTCATTTCTATAAACTTCTCTAGATGATGATGGAGAAAGGAAATAGATATTTAAGCATAGCGGGGGCTCAGAAAACATTCTCTCTAAAATAAGGAAAAACCATGGTCAAGATACAGGTTCCAGAATATAAAAAATACAGGTGGGGAGGTCCTGCTGACAGGTGAGGCAGGAGAGATCCCCACCTTCTCAGCCTCATCTGGACTCACCCTTGTTTGGATAACCTGGCTGCCACACTGCGGCTAGACCAGTGGACAGACCATATCCACTCACATAAGAATCACCTAGGCTGCTTCCTCAACACAGTAACAAAGTGGATAGTTACTACAAAAACCACATGGCCTGCAAAGCCTTTTAAAATATTTACTACGTGGCCTTTTAGAGAGAAAGTCTGCCAACACCAGAGCTACAATACAAGAAGGGGACATCTCGCAGAAACGATACAGTTCCATCTTGAGATTTTGTGACATGTACTCTCTTATTTATCTGTTCATCTGCCTCCTTTGTATCTTCCCATTTTGTTATTCTATGGATATAGAGAAATGTAAGTTAGGAGTAAAACCCTTTTAAGTTAGTAAGCCCTCTTCCTCCCTCTTGGTCCAAAAGTAGTCCTGTCACAAAGAAATTATTAGAAACCTTAACTAAAGTCTTATACATTCAAACCAAATCCAGTTTACACAAAGACTGAAAATGTCAGAAAGCCTGCAAATAGACTGTACAATACATTCTAATATCTTGGAACTATATTTTCTCCTCCCACAATTATCAATCAATGAAATCAGTAAGGTGCTCTATTTTACTTGCAAAACAAACAAATATTATATTAATACTAATTCTAAACTATAAACAAAAGTGAATAGAGGAAAAACTGTAGATAGAAAAGGGTCCTTCTTAATCTAGATAACTCAGTTATGAGATTTTTTAGTTAGTTTTGATTTAAGGCAAAAAGACCATAGTAACAACCAAAAACTTACAGAGGAGCCCAATTTAAAGTGGTTACCAAGAAAGAAAACTGGATGAACAAAGGCTAACCAGAAATAAATGGCTATTTAATAAAGGCTTTCATGTTTCATTAGTTTTTAGAATTAGAAATCAAAGTAACCATCAGTTCAAAACCATACAAATAAATGATTTTTCATGTTACAAAAATATCTATAAGATACATTTTGAGCCCTGAAAAGGAAATGAAAGATCTCTATGGTAGCAAACTTAATAAAAATCAACAGCAACAAACTTTTTAAAAAGACTTTGAAAAGCTTTACGAAGTATAAATGTTCACGTGTTTGCTGAATTAGTTTGCTGTGCATTAACAGAAACCTGGGAATGCACACTACTGGTGTTCTTGAGCATCTACCTATGCCTTAGCTCGTGCTGGCTCCTGTGCAGACCTCCCTCCCCTAGGCCTCTGCTCCTGATCCATCCTGTGTGATTTCCGGTCCAAAGTCATCTTCAAACAAGCCCACTGCTCTCATCACTTTGTATCCTCTTGGGGAGCCCTGGAATCAGAGTTGCACTGACATGTTCCACAATCTCCCACACTACCCTTGGTTCACACAGCACTTTGCTAACAATGCTCCTCCCCAACAGACGCAGAACCAAATCAGAGTCACCTTTCAAAATCCAGGTCAAGTATTAGCTCCTGCTTCTGAATTTTCAAAGCCCTTGAATGGCAGGCATTTTATAGCGCTTGTCACTTTCTACCTTGATTTTTATCTATTTATGACTTTTCTCCCTGATCCTGTATGAACTTGAGGAGAACAGTCTATTATTGCCACAGATCACACAATCAGCTACCATTTATTGAATGCCTACTCTAAGAACTACATTGCACGCTTTACCCACCATGACTAATTTTCACACCACTCCCTTTCAAAACAGATAGGAGAAAGCCATGTCCCCCAAAATTAAATAACTTAGTCAAATTTGTGAGTGATGAGTAGCAGCCCTAGGACTCAAACTCAGAACTGATGAACTTACAAAACCTGGCCATTCCATGGTGCTATTTCCTTTCTCACATCCCACATTGCTAGCATTATGCTTTCTAAATGGTAGGTGCTTTACAGATACTGGTTTTGCTCACCTTGGCTAAAAGGTCCATTACAGCAAAGAATACAAATACTGCTGTATTCCCAGGGGCCTAATACAAATTCCCTGCACAGAAGTCTCTCAAAAATGCTAGCTGATGAAGAAAAATGACTGCCAAAAGTTCATTCTATGAAAAAGGTTGCTAATAAGTGGCACTATTATATAAAGTTAAGCCTCGGAGTGAGAATTCCTAGAGAGCATATGATGCGCCAAAAAATCCAGAAGGAATATAACCCAATGAGAAACAGCCCCAAGAAAGCCCAGTCCCCTTGATGGGTGCCCACCTAGAAGCAGTCCAAGACCCCCAATGTCAGATCTGTACTGCAGCTCCTCTTCTGCCCACTCGAATTCACAAATCATAAGTAATCAGTCATTTATTCAAAAGCCCTCTACCTTCTTATCCCTATTTTGAAATCTGTGATAATGCCAAGAGGCTGAGCTAATGGTTGAACTCTATATTTGCTGTAGCAAAAAATTTAACTGTTTAAATAACCCCACTGTATTTTATTGGGTATAATTTTAAAGCAATGTTTTTAGGCCTCTGAGGATGACACAGAGTGAAAAGGTAAGAGACAGACAAATTATTATAAGTCTTTAATGTGTCAGGAATTAGAGAGGATCCTTTACATATTATTACTTAACCTTCAAAACAATCCTACTAGGTAGACATTAACACTTCCAACTTATGAATAAAGAAACTGAGGATCAAAGGTTAAAGCTTGGCTAAGAAAAAATCATACATAAAAGAATAAGAAGGCAAACCCAGGTTTTCCTGATGTAGATTGCATTGTTCCATTGTAAAATGCTCTCTCTCTCTCTCAAAGGCCTTCTCCCCATGCGATAGTCACAGTACTTGTTCTGGAAAGCAACAGTCACCTTCCAGCTCTAGCAGCCCACGCCACAAAAGGCAGCCTCATCTGTGCTGTGGACAAAGCTTTATGTGGACAGTAACATAAAAGCCTGAGATGCTACAACTCATCATCTGAGTATATTCTGTTCTCTGCTGACACAGAAAGGTCAAATTTGGATCTCCAATATGAACTCCTGATTTTATACTGTGAACACCACATGTCTTTGCTATCTTGTGTCCCAGGGTTTTCTAGCTTTTCCCTGACTTGCCTGTTCAAATGTCACAACTAACCCTGAGATGACCACACACTCTGCACTTTGGTCTCTGCTTCATCCCATGGTCACAGTCAATATATGCTGACTTCTATCTACAAAACCAGAGTGGTCAGTTCTGACTTGTCCTGATCCACGGTGGCCTCCGTTAACCCATCACAATCCCAGTGCCCTGCTAACAATCCTCAGACAGTTCAGAAGCACTTATGTACCAAAGTGAGCAACAATCACAATCTCACATACCCATTAAAGACATTGTGTATACACTTGGACCAGATTAACTCTGTCATAAACTTTTCACAATTTTCAACTGTTTTTCAATTAATTAGTATCAATTCTTGAAGCTTTATAGGAAATCAACAGTCAAAAATAGCACTCTATACATATAACGTATACATAACTCATACTTTATCACTGGTATTGATGTCATCTATGTCCACAGAAAGGTCTTCTTCAATCTCTTCACCAATACTTATCTCACTTTTTTCTGAACGATGGCTGGTACTAATTTTGGGAGAAAAAAAGAACTCTGAAAATAAACATTTAAAGAGAGTACCATTCTTCAAACTTTCATATACTTACTTTAATCCTTTAAAAGTAAAATATAATATTAAATATCATTCATTTCATACATATTTAGCAGCAGCAGTCAAGTCAATTGAACAGATGAGAAAACTAAGGTTCATCATGGTGACTTTGAACCAAGCTTCATCATGGTGACAATGGCAAAAAGCAAATCCAAACTTTTAAAATTTCATCTACTATGTCATGCTCTCTCTCAAAAAACTGTATAATAAATTATTCTGTTAACAAGTAAATGCAAAATTTCCAATTAGAAAAAAAAGTCAATTAAATAAAATTCTCAGGAATATATTTTAGAATAATTCAAACCTACAAAAAATATTACTTCCACATTAGTAGTCAATTCACAGATTATCTTTATGTATATAAGAAAGTTCTCTAAAACAAAATATTAAGAAATGTCATCTAAATCTGAAAAATAATTTGAGAGGGCAATTTTTAAAAGTTGAACACAGACAATTTCTACCAGAGAGAGATGCAAAGAGGAGAAACAGAGCACTTATAACACAGGAACTGAACTGCTTCTAAACAACCAAGTGAATTCTTCAATGTTACTTTTTTACATATTCTTACCAAATTTCCTGAACATAATACAGATGTCCATCCATATTCTAACATAAAATTAAAATTTAATTTTGGAATTACTATCTTTTATTCACCTTCAATCAATATGAACAGGAGAACCAAATACACTAAAATAAGCACAATGTAATTTTATCACACTTGTCTGTGTTCAGAAAGTGTTTACAAACCTATATTTATATATTTGCCCAACTGTTTTTCTTACCTATTAAAATCATCGACATAGTCATCTTCTTCTCCAGTACCTGATAAATTTAAGAAAAGATATATTTATATAAACATACTTCACATTTACCTACAATTACACACACATTTCCTTAAAAAAAAAATTACTGAATTGTATTGTTAAAAAAGAAGTCCCAAAGGTCACAAATAATGCTTTTATCATATTTAATATGAAGGCAAATGACAAAATAAACTAGCTAGGAAATGATACACAGTTATAAGTGATTACACCACATCCTAGAATACCTTAGCAAGGGTATACCTTGTCTTTATTCTAGGTACTCAAAAGCAATCTATCAGGTGGCACGCTCGCCATTTTATGACACCCTTAGATTTAATGGGGTACAGTAACAGAAAGTCATCAACCCCCTCTAGTTACCTTCTTTTGAACTATTTAGACTTTTCAACTCAGTGATTGTTATAAAATTTAAAAATCATCCTGAGGTGTGAAGAGGCAATAGAGCACACGAGTAAGAGTTCCTTCAGTCACACCTCAGACTCACCGCTGGGCAGCTCTGCGACCGTGGGAAAGTCAGGCGCCCTTTCTAGGCTATGTCCTCAGCCCTACAGTATGGCAGAACTCACACCAATCAAGGGATAGCACAGGATTCAGTGCGTGGGCTGTGCTCAGTAGAGACCCTGGTCCATAGCAAGCTCTTATTAAAAGGTCACCTAGTGAGGGAGAATGCTAATTAACAAAGCACTGTTAGTTTCCCAAAGTGCACCATGAGGCTCTGACAGAATGGGCACCTTTGAGACTTACTTAATATAAAGGACACATTTACAAATTAGCTGTCATTCCTTCCCAGGTCTTCTGAAGGCCACTTGAGGAAACAGGTTTGTCAACCTCAAGACAAAGACTTGGAGGCACATGAAAGCAGCCTTAGACTGTGAACAAATGGCCTGTGGAAGACACACGGAAATTATGTCAGGCTCCAAGGGGAAGGTGCAGATCATGAGGAAAAATAGTGGCCTAACAGCAAATTGTTCAGAGATGCTACTGGCACTATCCTTGATCCTCCAAAGTACAAGACTGGACTGTCTCTAGATTGGCTATACTGTTGAGAGGGTTCGAGTTCTGGATGGGCAGCTAGACAAATTAATTCTCTTACAGTAAAATTCTATGAGTAATGTATTCGTTTATCAAATATGTGAGTGACGACTAGGTACCCGGGAGGTACAGCATGACGACAATGATGTCTCTGCTCTCAGCGAGCTAGCGCTCTACTGAGAAGAAAGAGGGAACACACAATGCACCACAACAGATTGCAGAATGGCTGAGAAGAACTCTCCAAGGCAGCCACTGGGTTCAAACCTAAAGAACACATCACAGGCGCAAAGTATTGGGGAAAGGGTGTTCCAAGAAGAGGAAACATGTGGAAGGCCCTTTGATGGGGGAGGGTGTGGCAATGTGAAAACCCACCAGGGAGGAAGCTAGTACAACCACAGAATAAAGCTGGGGGCAGAGTGAGGAGAAAGACGAAGGGAGTGGAGAGAGATCAGAGGGGATGGCAGAAGCCAGATCACTTGGGGCCTGGCAGGCTAGTCAGGACTTTAGCCTAAAAGCAAAGGGAAGCTAGTACTGGCGGGGGGGCAGGTGTGAAGTAGAACAGGGAAGCGATATCAATTTATGTTTTCCCACAGACACCCTGACCACTGCCACAAGAAATGTTTAGGGAGGCAAGAATAAAAGCAAGGAAATGGAGGCTACTGCACAAGTCCAAGCCAGAGATGATGGGGAAAGGCTTGTGTCGAGGTAGGTGTGCTGCAGGTAAGACAGGCATATGGATGGTGGGGGTAGGGAGGAGGGAATCACAGAAATGACCTGTTTTTATTCAGTCTGTGAGCTAAGAATGGCTTTTATATTTTTAAAGGATTATAAAAAAACAAACAATATGTGACAGAGACCATATGTGGCCCACAAAGCCTAATGGGTGAGCCTAAAGCCTAAAATATGTTTGGTCTTTACACAAAAAGTTTAGTGACTTTTGCTTTAAACATGCAAAGTGCCTATTAACATTCCATTTAAGCACCTTTGATTGATATTTGTTTACCACACTAAAATAGGTTGTGCTCTAAACCTTTATTCGTAAATTGTTGCTTTAGAACTCAGAATTTATTTTTCCATTGAAAAGATATTTAAATAATGTCAAAATAATGTACAGGCAGTGAAACACAGTGGTTAAAGCTCTTTGGTGAAATATCAGGATTCTAAAAGCAGTATGATCTTAGGCAAATTCCTTAACCTACGTTCTTCATCTATAAAAATGGAGATAATAATAAAACCTACCTCGTCGTATAAGAATGAAATAAAATAATTCCTTAATATAGTACAAGGCACATATCACTAATGTCGTTATTATCCTAGGCTAGTTCACTAACATCCATATGTTATTTAAAATACCTACGGTACTATATGTATATTTACATTGGAAAAAAACCCAAACAGAAAACATTGTTGCAATACCTTTAAACAAAACTAAATAAAACTGTTTATTTCTATGGAATCCTAAAGCCTGGCTAAGTGACAAACATTCAGCTGGTGAAGTGGTGTGTCTTACCTGTGTAACTACCCAAACTCCAACCTCAGGCATGCCAAAGCCCAAGAGAAAGCAACGTGAAGCAGTTACACCACCTTTCTACTCTACCCAGCAACTGTGCAGTTGGAGCAACTGCCCTGCTCTGCTGAGGATGAGAATTCTCAGTAGCTTCTCCTCAAAAGCAGACTTGGAAACCCTCACTTTTACGGGAACAGAGCAGGCAGAGAAAAAAGCTAAAAGGCTTGGCAACAAGTGAAACATCATGAAAATGAAACACAAAACCCAAAACACGGAGTCAAGGGGAAGAGGTCAGGAAGAAAGTCTCTGGTGGTGGTTATCCACTGAGGTGGAAAGGAAAAGGACCTTTAGCTGCAAACGCAATGGCACCTGACAGGGAAAGAACAAGAGTAGGAAGGGGAGCAGGCCCACCTAGCCAGCCTACCGCAGCAGAGATGCACAAAGAGCAGGGGCGGCCCGGCCAGCAACTCAGAGGTCACTAGGACAAAGGGCATTGTATGCAACAGGAATCCAGGCATTCAGGGAACATCTGTTCTTCTGTAAATGGGGGAACAAAGTAACATAAAAAGGAAACTAACACTTATTAGGCACCTACCATGCCAGGTTCTGTACTTTTATTTACATATGTGTACATATGTAAATCCTATTTACTCTTTAAAACAAGTTAGACGTTATTAGTTCTACTTAACAGATGAGGAAATAGCTCAATTTACCTACCTACCCTACCCAACAGTGTCACATCTGGCATTCTCACTTATAGCTATACAACCCCAAACCGAGGTGCATTACCCAGAATGTTTCTCCAGAAGAAAGAGGGGTATTCTCTCAGCTGCTCACTCTGACATGCCTGCAGCTGCAGCAGCCAAGAGCACAAAGGGGACGCATACTCCTTTCTCCCCAGCCCACCAGGGATGCTGTGCTCCAATACTCCCCTGTAGGAGTACTCGCAGACCAGGAGAACCTAACATCACATCATGTCCCACAGAGGACAGAAAATGGCCACGGAGAAGCTGGGCTGCACCACTTCCTTCAGGTTGGAGACCACAGCGAACCTATCACACCTATCTGCAGTCTTGCACAGAACAGGAAACCGGAAGAGGACCATTGTAGCGGACTGAATTATGTCCCCCAAAACTCACTGAAGCTTGAATTGTGTTCCACAAGTTTTGTGTATTAGAAACTTGGCCCCCACTGTGACAGTTAAGAGAGTGGGAAATCCTATTATGGTAATTGAAAGGTGGAGCCTTGAAGGGATGACTGGATTGTAGAATATGAGGTAGTGAAAAGATTAAAAATGGTGGTCAGGGGCTGGCCCGGTGGCGCACTGCTACAGTGCGCCGCTTGGGAAGCGCAGCGGCGCTCCCGCCGAGGGTTCGGATCCCACATACAGACCGGCCGCTCACTGGCCGAGCGAGGTGCGGGAGTAACACCGAGGGTTGCGATCCCGTTGCCGGTCCCGGTCCGGTACGGGCGCGACACTGAGGGTTGCAGTCCGTTGCCGGACACGAAAAAAGACAAAAAGGAAAAAAAAATCTATATACCTTTTTTTTTTCTTGCCTTATTGCACTGGCTAGAACCTTCAGTTTGATGTTGACTCGAGGTGGAGGGAGGGGCATCCTTGTCTTGCCACTGATATGAGGTGCAGGACAGTCCATCTTTCACCGTTATATGTGACGTGGGCAGTAGGAGTTTTGTAGATGATCTTTTTCAGGTGGGTACACTTCTCTTCTGTTTTCCATCTGCTCAGTGTACACCTCTCTCCATGATCATGAGATGGTGAAATTAATTTTAAGTGGGTTCTCCTTGCTGCCACCACCAGATGGATTTTGGACTTCCCAGCCTCAGAAACTGTAAGCAATAAGTTTTGTTTTTCTTTATAAATTACCCAGTTCCAAGTATTCTGTTATAAGCAACAGAAAACGGACTGATACAACCGTGTTCTCAACATATGGCCCCAGAGCTCAGTAATGTTCACACTCAGACTCCAACTTATATACAAATGAATTTCCTTGAATTCCCTGAGGCCTGGACTATGTACTCCCAGCACCTAGAGAATGGTTCTGTCTCTGCACACATTTTGCTCAGTCTGAATTGAAATCCTGTCCCTTCTCCCTTACACACCTCCTACTGAACCACCAAGTCTCAGCACAGAAGTCACTTCTAACAACAGGCCTTCCCTGAAAGCCTAGACTAGGTGAAACTAACCTACTATCCATTTCCATACTGACCCTTTTAACACTCACAATATCCACAGGTACCATTTAATGTCTGTCTTCCCTATTACAACTTGAACTCCATGAAGACAGAGATCTATCTTGGTTGTTGTTAAAGCCATCCCTGGCAGAGAGTGAACACACAGAACTATCCAAACATCTACTGAATGAATACAATAAAGATGCTCAATGTGGGTTGACTGAATCACTTCATTTAAGATTTTACCCTAAAATATAATCACTTTAAAGCACTCAACACTAAAACTAGAACTCTAGTTACCTAATCCAAGTGATCCGATTTTTTCATTGACCAATTTCAGATCTTTCAAAACTGTGTTTCCCCTTTTACCTGTGAATAGGAAAAAAATATTAGTATTAAAGTGACTTAGAACATGGCATTCTCTAAACCACATCAGTTTTTCTTTTTTTTTTTTTTTCCCCCAGAATGGGGCTTCTTTATGACAGGAGCATAATAACCTAAAACTAAAGAAAAATTACAAGTTGGATTAATGGATGCTTAAATTATACACTATATCCCTTTTTTAAAAAAAAAAATAAATAAAAAACCATGAACAACTACTTTTTTTAACCATGAATACTTTTTATTGGAACACAACCATCAAAATTTTTTGCCTGATTATAAGACATCACCTTCTATAAGCAGCCCCATTAGGTATAAATTCACAGACTACAACAGTTAGTTACAACAGTACTTCAAAAATTTCAGGGAAAAATTTGTATTATCTCTCAATTCTACCTTTCCACGAACTTTTTGAAATACCCTTTTCCTTTGACCTTCTAAATTTTGCTTCAATCCAACCAGTATTCCATTTACCAAACTGATCCCCTCACTAGTTTTATTTCTTTAGTCCTCTCTAAATCATCATTCCATAATCAGTGTCAGTGACATGATCACAATAATCCTGGATTCCTTTCTTGAAGGGGACAATAACCATAGGAGAGAAGAAAATAAGAAGGGACAGTATGTAGGCTATACTGATAGATACATGGCTACTTTACTAGGTGTCTAAGAGAAGCAACAGATCCTCTCTTTTATGTGTTTTAGGAAGTCTCACAGTTGTATCACATAATACAAAAAGGTTAAGAAGTACCACAAAATAAGAACAAATTCACACTGCAAATTTCTCGTGAATCTCCTTTAGGAAACTCTCTCAAAAGAGGTAGTACACTCAAACATTCTGCCAATTAAATTCTGTATTTACTGTGATATAGTATTCAAAGTTCACATGCATATATCTACATGTTTAGTGCTATGCTTTTTTAATTTCTAGTACTGTCACTGTGGGGGAGAGGGGTAAAAATGCAAATGGTGCAGAAGCTGGCTGTTCTGCGTCCAGATAGCGATCTCTATCTCTGCTACATATAAAAAGAGATGTCAGATCCAAATCCCTGAGGGCAGATTAATACTTTATTTAACATTCCTACAACAACTATGATGGTATCACAGAAGAAATTTTTAAAAATTAGTTGTTCTTGGGCCGGCCCTGTGGCGCGCTCGGGAGAGTGCGGCGCTGGGAGCGCAGTGGCGCTCCCGCCACGGGTTCGGATCCTATATAGGGATGGCCGGTGCGCTCACTGGCTGAGCGTGGTGTGGGCGACACCAAGCCAAGGGTTGCGATCCCCTTACTGGTCACAAAAAAGGACAAAAAAAAAAAAATTAGTTGTTCTTAAGTCTAACTCAAGTCATTCTAGATGTTCAACCAGAGATGATTTAAAAATTGTAATACCTCTATAAATACTATAAATTAGCCAAAAAGACAACTTCCTAAAAATATTTTGATGACACATGAAAAGGCAGGATATAAAATAATACAGAGAACACAACCACATTAAAAAGAAATGAAAAATGTAACAAAATATTAATAGAAAGTATCTCTAAGTGATAAAATTAAGGGCTATTTTTATGACTGTCCTGAAAAAAAATCAACAATAATCACATACTAACTTAATTAGAGAAAAAAATATCCAGAGTATAAAAGCCCACATCTTGGGGCACTTACTCTCAGAGTCTTTTAATGAGGGGGCTCCCGCCAGGGAGCTGAGTCCACTCTTTAAGGGGGGCGCATCCGAGAGCGCTGCCAGGCTTCCCACTTGCTTCCTAGGTTCACTTCTCCTAACAAGAAACAAGTGACAGTTAAATGGTCATCTTCTAACTTGCCACTAAACACTTTTGTTCTGCCACTGAAACAAAAGCAACTTAAAGGTATGGTTATGGAAATAAAGAACATACATTTTATAGATTCAACAAGATCATAAAGTACAGTCAGCCCTCTCTATCCACGGGTTTCGCATCCATGGATTCAACCAACCATTGACTGAAAATATTCAGAAAAAATTGCACCCATACTGAATGTGTACAGACGTTTTCTTATCATTATTTCCTAACCAATATAGTATAACAACTATTTACACAGCATTTACATTGTATTAGATATTATAAGTAACCTAGAGATGATTTAAAGTATATAGAAGAATGGGCACAGGTTATATTCAAATACTATGCCATTTTATGTAAGGACTTGAGCATCTACAGATTTTGGTACTCAAGAGAGATCCTGGAACCAGCACCCTTCAGACACCAAGTGACAAATGTTCATAGTACCCGCCCCATCCATAGTTTCGTTTCCTGTGGTTATAGTTAGTCTATCTGGTCAACTGTGGTCCAAAAGTATAAAATGAAAAATTCCAGAAAGAAACAATTCATTAACTTTTAAGTTATGAGCCATTCTCAACAGTGTGACAGCTTCCCCACCTGTACATGATACCCACCCAGGGAAGAGAATGGACAGTGCCTGCTCCTGACATCCAGCCATAGAGATTGTCATAGCTCAATGATCTAGGACCACCTGAAGTAGATGACCCTCCTTCCAACGTATCAACAGTAGCCTACTGGAGGTCACAATGCCTACGTCATTCACCTGACCCCACCACATAGGCATTTTCTCATCTCGCATCATCACAAGAAGGGTGAGACAGACCTCATTCACCTAACTTTCATTACAGTATATTGTTATAATTGTTGTATTTCATTATTAGTTATTGTTGCTAATCTCTTACTGTGCCTGATTTATGAATTAAACTTTATCATAGGTACATATGTATAAGAAAAAACAATACATTAGTATATAGACTTTTGGTACTATCTGCAGTTTTAGGCATCCCCTGGGGGTGTCAGAACATATCCCTAGGATAAGCGGGGACTTCTATGCCTACGAGGCAATGTAGACCACAGATCAATCACAAATCCATGCAGCAAGACTGTCAGTAAGAAATCAGCTCACTTCTCTTTAGAGCTATGTGATACCTTACAAACTAAATTGACCTTTAACAGCTTCACTGCCTGTGACTTTTTTCAGAAGCCCTTTTCCATCTCCCAGAAATACGCCAAAGAACAGTGCAGGAGTCTCTCAGCAAATGAGCACTACCCCTCAGATGTAAGTATTGTTTAGAGAAGCCACAAAAGCCTTGCTGATGGATCTCCTCTTAAAATCACGATCACCAACCTTAGCAGGACATCTGATATGCCCAGCATTCCTACACATTTCCGTAGTCCATTCTCTCACTTTCCCGTAGAACCATTCCACACCTTCTCCTCTCTCCTAAGATCTGCAATGCTCTTCTCCATCCTCTCTCAACTATGAACTCAGAAAAGAACTTGCACAGGGGCTGCCATCCCCACCCCACTCTGCCCCTGCCTACAATGGGACCCACATTCTCTCCACTCTTCTGGCAAAGGTAATCCCTGTGCATTGGATTCCATCACTGGGCAGCTCTCAAAGCCTTCTCTCTTTACTTCCTTACATCATTACTTCTTCTGTCTTTAAAACCAGATGGTTCTCATGAACATACGTACATGGTGCTATTTCTCTCATAAGTTTCTCAGCCCCATATCCTGCCCCTCTAGCCACCACCCTGTTCCTCTGTACCCTTTTACAACTCATCAGAAAATTGTTCACCAGCTACAATCCTTTCCTGTTATTCTTTCTTGAAACGATGCTAATCCTTCACCCACCCCATCCCCATTCCAACAAACCCGCCTGTCAAGGTTGTCACTGATCCCCAAGTGGCAGGCTAGGCTCCCTCCTGCCTCTTCCTCTAATGACACCTCTCTCTCAGTCTCCTTCCCTGCTCCCTGCTCATCTCCCTGACCCTGAGGACCCATTTCCTTGGTAATCTCCTCTAGTCTCCCAGCTTCCACATTGTCTACAAACTGGTGACTCCCTAATATACATTATCACCCTTAATCCAATAGCCTCCTCCGCATTTCCACAAACAACCTTAAACTGAACATGTTAACATCACTCATCTGCACGATCCCATCTTGCTTTTTCCACTCTTCATCTCGGTAGATGATTTTTCAACCTTCTAATCATTCAGGCTAAAAACCCTGGTATTACCCTTGATGGTATGTTTTTCTGTAGCACTTACGGGCAAATCCTTTTGGATCTAACCTCAAAATACTTCCACTTCCACCATTATCTCTCACCAGAATAATCCTAACAGCCTCCCACCTGGAAACCGAGTCCACCCCTGCCCAGCAGCCAGGGGCTCCTTCCGTAATATAGGCTGGACCAGCCTCCTGGGGCTTCCAGGCTCCCTCAAAGGAAAGCTAAACTCTTTCCATGGTCAGTCCAGCCTCGTCTCTGAGCCTATCTCATATACCCCACCCCTGCTGCGATGACTACACTCTCTTCCTTGCTGTCCTGTGGCCTCTCAGACACCTCTGCCTTTGCTGTCTCCTCTCCCTAGAGCTCTACAAACTTGGATTCCAAATGGCTTACTCTCTCACCTCCTTTAGCTCTTTGGCTAAAAGGCACCCTGAGTGAGCCAGCCTCTGATAAACGCTGCTGCAAACTGTATGCTCAGCACAAACTCCTGCTCCTCCAGCACTGCTCCACTCTCACACCACACCACACCCTGTGGGGAAACTGTACTGACTCCACCCGTGAGAGGGTAAGCTTCCTGAGGGCACGAGTTTTACCCTTTGTATTACTGCTGCATCCTATGCCTGAAGCAGTCCCCTGCAAAGGACAGGCACTCATACACACTCACCTACTGAAATAAGTCACATCTAGGATTTTTAAGAACCTGGGACTGTTAACAACATAAAAGGCATTAATGACAAAATCAGATTTGTAGGTTCAATAATTATACAACCATTAGTAGCTCGTTATTTTTTAAATATAAAATGAAAACAGTATTTTTAAACCTTTAGTCTGATAGTCCAAAAAGTTTACTCACCACCCATAAGTTTTTTCTGGTTTAGGTAAGGGATCATCAAAAAAAGAATCTCCTTCCATATCATCTTCATCTGAACAAAGGCCAGCTTTGTCTTTGCCATCCAAAGTTTTGTTGCTTAAGAAAGACCCAATTTTTGTTTCATGGGCCAGTAAGTGAAGACTACTTTTGCTCTTTGGTTCTGATGAGGAAACACTTGTATCACTCTGGCTGGCCTCAGTGTTGGCCTTCTAGAAAAAGAGAGAAGGAAAAAGAAAAGGTCTTGGTGAGGTAAAACTTTTAGATATTTTAAATAATAAAAGAAGTCGTGTGAACACAGGCAAACGTGTGTGTGTGTGTGTGAGTGTGTGTGTGTGTGTGTGCTCACAACAGCATCAACTGCAGAGTAATCCCATGATTTATCACTTCATCCCCATGCTTCCTAACGTGGCTTAATTTTGAAGGAGAAAAATGTTAAAGCAACATGTTCATACCATTCCTTTCCTCCTTCCCTAAATGGAAACATCTTTACTACACCTATCCCATTTATACACACTTTTCCATTTCTGCCTACATATATATCACTGCTTCATAAATTATCTTAAATTAAAACATTTTTAACTTGCAAACAGGAGAGAGCAATAATATTAAAGGAGAAAAGAAAGATTATTTCACATAAACAAACCAAGCATTAAAGTACCCATCAGGAAAAAAGGCTGTTTTCCATCCAGTGCCAAACACAACAGACACCAAGGTGGAAGATGCTGACTTCAACCATTCGCATTTCTAATGCAAAGATTTGCTGATTAAAATAATTATCTTAATTCAGACTTTCAGAGTAACTACCTAACCTACACCTCACCTAAATGTCCACAGACAGGCATACATATTTCTTTATATATCTTAAACCAATGTAAAATAATTCTCAAACATCCTTACCCATGCCTTACTGATATATAATGATGTTAGCACAAAATGTCACACTTATTTTCTTGTTTTCAGTGAGTCCTAACCTTCACAACCTAACCTTCTATCCTTGGCCAGATTTCTTTTTCCCTTAGACATGTCTATGTCAATAATAACAAATACAAAAAATAATGCTAGTAATAATAAAAGTCACTGACATTTCTGAAGGGCATTCAGTGCTTCACATGTTACCTCGTTTAATCTTCAAAATAACCCTACAGTATGGAGGCCAGTTCTGTTATCGCTGTGGATTTGAAAAAGGAAACATAGAGACATTTATGTCACTTGTCAAGGTCCCCAGGTAATTTTGCAGTAGGGTCACATCAGAGTCAAAGTCTTATTCCACAGGTTAGCTCTTAATATTTACGCTATTAGGATGAATTACATAAAACTGCAGTTTTTTGTGGGTTAAAAATGGCAATTTCCCAAGATTCGGCCTTACATAGTAAAGAAAGCAGTATTGTGGCAAGATATCTGTGGTGTACTAGGAAAAACACTCACCTGAAACAAGGGATCTGGAATGTACTCCACTCTCAACTATTAACTGCAACATCTTAAGTAATTTAATTTTCCTAGACATGAGTTTCCTCAAGAATTGAACTAGGTTAGTATTTCTCAAATCAAATTACAACTAGGAATTAAGAAAGAAGGGATAGGCAGCTGAGGAAGAGTTAAAAAGTAGTACCTACTAAAGGAAGGTGGCAAGTGTGGGTTAGATATTTCTGAATAAGAAACTTTCACTTTTAACATGTGTACAGACAGGTGCACTGTGTATGTCTTAACATATAAGATTACATTTTTATATTAGGTAGAGGCCTTGATTAGTTGACAGCAGGCAAAATATATGCTATATAAATTTTTAGGGCCTTGTATAGAGCTATACATTCCACATATTATTAATGTAGATAAATTTTATCTATAAAAAGAGACGTCCGGAAAAATAAATACCAAGTTATTATCCTTGTAGACAATATAGGATATTTTCAAAGAAGCAGTAACTTCCTAACAACTTTCTTGAAGTTTTCCTGGAATTATCGAATATAAAGGAGTATCATACACATACATTTCTTAATTAGATTCATGCCAATTTCAATCTCTGATTTATAAATGCTTTAATAATTGCTTTATATCTTTTCAAAGGCATATACATTTGGAAACAAATACCCTTCAGTTTTGTGATATTTAAACACATTTACAATCACAGACTAAGACAGTAACAGATTCTCTCCTTCAAAACACTGAGAAAGTTCAGAAGGATAACTGCCACTAAACAAATCGAAATGTAAATGTAAAGCAACATTATGAGAAACAATAATTATTCCAAAAAAGTTGTTCTTCCTCATGAGTTCATATTACCAACATAACTTAAGTGCACATAATGAAATATCTAATATCTAAGCTTAGAAACTGATATGTATCCATGATTATTTTTTGATTGGTTTTAGTAATATTCCTGCTATGGACAGAAGGACCAGTTTTAGGAAGACAAATTTCATGGAGAAGGATGCTGTTATGTTACACAACACATACAGGTGACCCCTGAACAACATGGGTTGAACTACATGGGTCCACTTGTATGCAAATTTTTTTCAATAAATAAAATACAAATTTGTTTTGCAGATTTGTGACCATTTGGAAAAACTCACAGATGAACCATGTAGCCTAGAAATATCAAAAAATTAGGAAAAAGTTGGGCGAGTCAATAATGCATAAAATACATGAAGATATTAGTCTATTTTATTAGTTGCCACCATAAAAAATACATAAATTGGGCCGGCCCAGTGGCGCACTGCTACAGTTGCCGGTCCCAGTCCAGTATGGGCGCGACACTGAGGGTTGCGATCCGTTGCCAGTCACAAAAAAAGACAAAAAGGAAAAAAAAAATACATAAATCTATTATATAAAAAGTTAAACTATCAGAACTTACGCAAACATAAACTGTACATGGCACCATTTGCAGCTGAGAGAAATGTAAACACACATTTTCTTTTCTCTAGCTTACTTTATTGTAAGAAGACAGTATACAACACATATAACATAAAATGTGTTAATCGACTGTTTATGTTATTGGTAAGGATTCGTCAACAGCAGGCTATGAGTAGTTAAGCTTTTGGGTAGTCAAAAGTTAAATGCAGACTTTCAACCATGCGGGAGGTCGGCGCCCCTAACCTCCACGTTGTTCAAGGGTCAACTGTAGTTTTAAAAATAATAGAACTGTTTTGTTCTGTATATAGTTATATTTGTTTACTGAGTAAAAAGAAACTTTAAAAACAATCTGCTTTGGAACTGCTCTCAAAGTTAATTTCTAAACCACAAGGGACCGTGTCATTACTTTATACAGGTTAAGTATCCCTTATTTGAAATGCTTGGGACAGAAGTATTTTGGACTTTGGACTTTAGATTTTGTAATATTTGCATACACATAATAAGATTATCATGGAGATGGGACCCAAGTCTCAACAAGAAATTCATTTATGTTTCATACAGATCTCATATACATAGCCTAAAGGTAATTTTACACAATATTTTTAATAATTTTGTGCATAAAAGAAAGTTTGTATACACTGAACTATTAGAAAGCAATGGTGTCACTATCTCAGCTACTCATGTGGACAATCGGTGGTCACCTGGCATCACCATCATTCCTGACTCTGAATTTATATGTTAACAATAAGCAATCATTTTCTTAGATTTATTCACACAGAAGTCCGTAACAGTAAAAAAATATGGCATGCCATTAATACAGTGAAAAAAAATGTGCTCAGGGTGACTAAACAGCACAGTAGCATCACCAGACCATCTGTGTCAGCTGTTAGACAACAGCACCAACAAACGGAGGCAGGCTTTCAGTTTCCACCTACAATGCTATGTTTTGATTAAAAGGTTATTGTACACTGTATTTTTTTTTTTTTTTTTTGAGGTGAAAACAAACATGAGAAGCAGTTGAGAGAATAGGAAGTGGATCCTGGGATGAGGAGACATTTTGCTAGATGGTTTTTTAAAATGTCTCCTCCAGAGTCATCTGCCTCATTAACAACAGTTTTTGTCTCAGAAATCTCTGCTTGATTTTATAAAACCAATACAACTCTTGTTCTGTTATATGTGCACATTGCTCTAGTCCTTCAATAAGCTCATCACAGTGTTTGGACTGCGCCCCATCACATGAAGCCAGATGTGGAATTTTCTACTTGCATGTCAGTGCTCAAAAAGTTTAGTATTTTGAAGCATTTCAGATTTTCGGATTAGAGATGCTCAACCTGTAACTAGGGCTCATTTTTTACCAAAAGACAATTACCCAACTGGGATATGAATTAACTAAACTTAATTCCAAAAAACTTTTACTATCAAAAAAACCACACTAAGAGGAGAAAGATTTATCATCAAAACTTTCTGCAGAGATTAAAACAAAAAGTATTATAAAACTTTTAGAGCAATTTCAATGGAGGAAGTCCAGACGTATATGTGTATATATGGCATGGTCCACACCATGGCATGATCCTAAAGGAGTCAGCTTGGGCTGCCCTCTCCAAGTTGGCAGGGCCGCTG